CCATTTAAACGGGAAGAAACCTCCAGCAGAGTCAGGCTCGGGGAGGGGCAGCAATCTGCTGCAACTGATTGGTTGAGGGGAGGAAGACATGACAAAGATGCAAAGATGTCCACCAGAGACTAATAATAACTAATAATTAAATGCAGAGAGGTGCAAAAACAAATAGTGAGTGAAAAAGATGACTGAAGAAGAAAGACTCACCCAGCGCCCTAGACCTATCACAGCGTAACTAAGGGAGGATTTTGGGTATACTAAGAACAGGAAAATATAAACCAAAAAAATTTAAAAAACATTTACTTGTGTTCAAACAGCAACCTCCACGCCAGCTCTGCCAAGTTATTATTTGTGAATTTGATGGAAATGTGATAATGTGCTAACAACAAACAAGGGAGATAACTTCTTTGGCGTGTTGACTTTTTTTCATGTCTGATTACACGGCACACTTGATTTGTCTCATTTCAAGGATGAGCAGGACCGAGATGGTTGCACTGCAATTCAGGGGCTTGGTACCATCAATTCAATTCAATTAGTTTTAATTAGCTCAATGGAGAGAATGAGGAAAAAACAACAACCTCACTGGGTCCTCCAATGAAATGAATTACTCATGAGTGAAAGCTTATCAAATCAGCCAGATTTATATGTAGAGAATATTAAATCAAGGCGCTGGAAGACATATGACTGGAATGAGTTATACTGCTATTTAAAAGGCATGAAATCTCTATTGGATTCAAATCAGATCATGATAACAAGCTGGTCGTTATTTGATGCTATTTGCTGTGTTATACACTCAGCTGACATCTGTCTGCTGTGAGATATTTTCATTTATTTTTAGATGGCGCTTGTGATAGAAAAGTCTCGTTGGGCTAAACAACACTGACTCACATTTGATTGATGGTTACATCTAACAATGACCGCAGAGACCAGCAGTTTGTGAAAGACAGGACTTTGACAAATGTCATATACTGTTCATAAAAAACACTCTCTGATGATAGCTTAGACTTTTATATATCAGAAGACGTTCTGGAGCTGTGGGAAAGGGCATTTTTGCAAACAAACAATGGGATGTATAAAGTTGGTGCTTTTTGGCCTTTTTGGAAGATAAGCCCCTTCACCAGGTCTCTTTGTGACCTCAAATTACATCTCAAATAAAGGTTTGTGAGCAGTTTGACCAAAATACTATTTCATTATAGTGGGAATGACCATCTTTGTCTGTGTTAGACTGTGTTAGACTGTGTTTCCAGGATGTAGTTGCTGCTGACCAATTACTGGATTAGTAATCTTACTATAATCAACATGCTGCATGCATATTTCTATACCCTATCTGCTCCTTTAAAGGTGGGACAATCTGGATGAAGCTTTACATCATCACAAATACACAAATTATGTACATCTCAATGTGTTTTATCCAGATTTATTACAAATACAAATTCTTTGGATTATTTTTTTGTATTTTATGTTTATTTCCACGTCCCCAACCATTTGTGGTTGCCTCACGTCACGTTCAACATGCACCGCCCGTACGTAACTTAACAGCCACTAACATCTGCGACAAAACTTTGTTCAACTCACCAAAAAATACAGAATGAAGAATGTGAAAAAACGCCACAGGCCTGGCAAAAATGATGATGATGCTTTGTCTTTATATAATCTTGTAATACAAGATATAATCAACTGTACAAGCTATCTTTTTTACTTAATGTTCTGATTGTATTCTACAACCATGGTGGTTAGATAACATGTTTCTATAAATTATTCTATGCTTGTTATTTTTCCTTGTGAAAAGCCACGCAGGCTGCTATTGTGCTCTGTATTGTTGTTTGACTCCTCTGCAAAGGCAAATTCAAATCTCACTAAGACAACCTGTTTTTGTAGATCTGTTTATTTCAGATCTTTATAACAATTTAGTATCAGAAGTGGGAACCCTTGGCTGATGAATATTCTGGGTCAAGATTACAGTGAGGGATCGTCCCAAAAGGAGGCCTCTAAAATCCTACATTGAGAGACAAGAGGGCTGACCGTTTACGTTTCTGTCTTCCAAACACGAGCAGGTGTAACTTTGAAAAACTTGAAATGACAATGACACAATCTGTAATGTGCTTTCAAATCCCACTGTTTTAAATCTGACATTTTGACTGGGGAGATCAATTCTCCTGTGGTTCTTGTACTCTTTTGAAAGGCTTCTTTCACGCCATGCTGTTCAATAAACTGCTGATTGATACCCACCCTTCCAGGTTCATTGACTAGGACTGTGATTTCTCTCTGTCAACACCCTGGTTTTTCTATTGTTGACAGACCTTCAAGGCAGAACATGCTGATGGTTAGATTGATTGGACAGAGTGAACTACTCTGCTACTACTTAAAAAAACACATTACTGGCTTACATGTAAGTCGTGCATGTGTGTTCCTAATGGGCTCTGATTGATCATTTGGGAGGACATAAATTAGCCAGTTAGCCATCCTATAAGTAAATTATATTTATATGTGAATACTGAACTACAGCATAGCAATGTGTTTTAAATGAAAGACCACGGTGTTCTGGCCAAGGAAAAACGATTTCCTGTGAAGAGTATCTCAGGCTGAAATGAAGACTTCTTCTACAACAATTTGCTCACAAGATGTAGGATGTGATGAGCAGACACAGCCGTTCTTCCATTGAGGCAAGACAGAGCAATGGACCACATGAAGGCAATGGAGACTTCTAATGAGGAACTTTGTCAGCCCAGAGTCTGACATGATTAACAAAGGACATGAAAAAGAAAGTAAGAGCAGAGAGAAATGCAGTTCATTCACCCTCCAGTGGTCTTCCTGACTCAAATGACCCTCATCTGTGCCCAGATCAAATGTTCCCACTTGTGCAGGTGACACTTAGGTTTTGTCAGGAGCAATGGCAATGGGCTAGCCTTTAAGGTAATACATAACAGCACAGCAGAAAAAGAGTGGCCTGGCTATCTAAAGCTCATCCTGCATGTGGTCTAAAATAACAAAACAACAACAACAACAGTGGGGTTTAAGTCCAGTGTGGCTAAGAACCCCACTGGTTTTAATTTAAGCTGTTGATTGGGGGCTGATTTGCACTTAGATGTAAACTAAATGCAATTAAACTAACTGGTAGGATTAAAAATAATCAGTGCTCTGTTGACTTGAGAAAATACAAAGATTTGAACCCTGCTGGTGCACAAAAGGAAGCTATAAAGGAGTGGATATTCACATCATCTCAGCAAATTATTCAAGTTCCACTTGAGCAAACAGCTCTGCCTCTCAACATTACAAAACCTTTGAATGCAGCTGATGTTTGACCAGCTGAAATATACTGTGAATTTGAAAATGACATATTTATCACAGTAAAAGCTTAACAGCGGAAACATTTAGTAGACTCACACAGAGTAAGATGTTTACTATTAATGGTATATTTATACCACATAGACACTTATCCTTCTTATCCTTAACTGTTATCCTAGTCTGCCCTGATATCTGTGTTCTCTTTGATTCCAAATATAATCATGGTCAACAAAACATAACTTCTTTGCAGCTTTATCATGTTCAAATAAAGTGGCTACCTGATCATCAATTGACATCAGTAAATCCATGCTTAACTGTAGCAGAAAGCTGCACTTATTCTGCATTCATTGAATGGATTTGCAGTACTGCAGATGCTGACTTTACACAAAATGCATCAAAGATTTAAACAAAAATGCAGTAAGTAATAATAAGAGCTAACTCCGAGGAATAGATCATTTAATTTAGAATTACTTTACATTACAGTAATATATGCATCTGTCTGTACATCCGACACTGTGGAAAATATTAACAATGGTGATTATGAAAAACATGAAATTTTCATTTTGTTCCTTTGCTGTGAGGAGTTATAGCTTTTAAAAAAAAACTGTGATTGGACCATGCTCAGAGCATATGCACCTTTTATCCCTTCAAACTGACTTACAGAGTGTCCATACTCCAAGAAACAAACAAGATACAGATATACAGGCAGAATGGGATGCTTTTTGACCAGGGTCTTGTAGATCTCAGTAGATTTGCAAACACCAGGTTTTGGTTTGTTTTTAAATCACTTAAGTAAGATGAAGTTAATACTTTTACATTCATTCAGTTTTTTCTTTTTCTTTTTTATCATAAACAAAAAAGCACACCCTTATGTAATCCAAGATTTTAATATTCTCTTTATATATACGCTGTATTTCGTTTTAACTCACCTATTTGGGATATCATAAATTATTATGGGGTATTTTTCTGTGTGGATTCAAATAAACAAACTATCTGCAGAAGAAGAAAAAAGATCCCTTTTATGTTGTTTTCCCTTTAATTATGAAGTTCAAAAGGAGCTTGTGGACTCGCTCTTTTGTTTACATAATTGCCTGCAGAAATGTTTCAGTTTGCGAGCAGTCATTGGAAAATAATAGCAGCAGTGCACTCTATTGTTGTATCTTAAATAAGTCTGGGCTTTATTGCTCCATTTTGACTCAGACAAATGTAATGTATATTACATTCACAAACAGCTTATGGCAGTCTATTGGCTCTCATCTTTGCATTACTGGATGAACCTGTGACCATGGTTCTCAACCTATAAAATCTGTGGCCCATTTTGGGGGAGGGGTTTATGTTTTGTTGTTTGATAACCGTGTCTATGGATTTCTAAATCCTTCACTCTCTATGTGTGGTAACTCCTGAGGGAGAGAAGTATCTGCACAATACACCTGCCCTCTTCGCCCGGGGTGAAGTAGCCTTGTCCAGCCGGAGTGGGGCGTGTCTCCGTGGGCGGCCTCTTCAGTGCGGTGCCGCTGCCACTGCTGCTGATGCCGCTGTCTTCTGTTCCAGTGGATGCAGGTGGAGGTGCGTCAAAAGGCCCTTAAAGCAACCACAAGAAACAGGGTGCCAGGACCTTCACAATAAAAGTCACAACGGAACACATCAGCGTGGATGTTTTAATTTGGAAAGAAGAATCTAAAGCGGAGTTTCCTGCCTTCTGGCTAGCTTGACAGCAGGGATGCAGGTGGAGCGGCTCGGCCAGGACCGTTCACATCTGTCTTGAAGGAGAGAGGGGGGGAAGAAAACCTGCGTTCGGGTCTGTTCAACGCTCTGGATAAAAATTGAACAGAAAATAAGCGTAGAAGCCTGAACTACGTCCAGACTATACCCAGGGATATTTACAAACCTCCCCAAGTCTGGAGAATAATATCGAAGGGATTGCCGCAAAATACAAGTAAGGACTTTTTTTTCTTCTTTGCTTTGGTGACTGTATGGCTCTGTGTGTCACTCCGTGTGTGCGTGTGCGCTCTTTTTTCCCTTCTTTCTTTTGGCCATAAGGATTTGTCCTTCTGTGGAAAGGCTTTTCAATTGGTGACAGGTGATGTCAGAAAAAAATAAAAGCTACACTAAAACACTCCTCGCTTTGTGCTGTTGAGATGTAGCGAGCAGCAAATGATGCGTAATGGGTCAATATTTGGAGGAGATTCGGGAGGCGAGTGGATTTGAGGTCTGCTGTTTGTTTTCTGCGGTTCTTGGAGCAGACACGCTGAATTTGGCGTGCGGGGGGGAATGATGGACATATGTGGTTTGAAACCACGCGTGACAGCAATGTCAGAGTGTGGGAATTGAGTAAAATAAAATAAAATAAAGGGAACAAAAATCTTTCTATTTCACCGAGGTGACGGTTAATTGGAAAGTCAGTTTTTGTGCCTCGGTGAGCTGTGGCTGTATTTACGCAACGTGCAGATGACTTGAGAGGTTATTCTTACAGGTTCCGACCTTCGTTAAACCCGAGGTCTTTTTCAAATTAGCTGCTCGGCTTTAGAACAGAATATATGGTTGAATTATAGCGAGTGTACGCTGTGGGATAATACTTCTCGCCTATTTCGTTACACACACGCACACAGCCTGATTAATTGTACGCACTTCTTCAGTCCAAAAAGAGCGAATTTTGCTGGGAGTCCTCTCACTGAGTAGTCGGTTTCTGATTTTGGCTTTATCCGCTGGGATTATTCATCCAGCAACATTTTACTTCAAATTATTAGAAATGCAAGGATAAAAGGAAAAGATGCCCCGGACAATTGTGCCCCCCGAGGGTATACTCTTGAATGAACAGATGCGGGTTTTTTTATATGTTAAACGACAGAAATCCTATGGTCTGTAACTCTCCTCCCTAAAGCGACCTCAGAAGTGTTTCTCCAAGTAAAACTGATCCGCACAACGAGTTGGAAATGCACGCACGCAGGTGCGTGGGTATTTTGGACTCTATATTGCGCCGAGTAGTGTACTGCGACCGTACGAGACTCCTGCGCCACCGTGTCGCCAAACGCCCACTGGGGTGCTTAACGGTGTCTCCGCACAAAATCCCCGAGCCAAAAGAGTAATTAACAAGTGCTACAGATCGGTAAAATCCCCGATTATCAGATTCAAGGCTGGGTTGTTGTTAGTTGTACTGGCCAATATCTGAACTGAGCACTGAGCTCTGTCTTGTTCGGCGGCGCAGAGGCAGACGCGGACGCTGATGGGAAGGACCAGAGAGAGGAAAGCAGACGCCACATGATGAACGTCTGTGTGAACGCCAGCGGGAAGCTGACCTGCTCGGTGCTTTTAAAATGAAGCCCAGTGAACTTTTAATAAATACGAGAGCATTAGCTCGCCGTTATGTTTATTGCTTGCATCTTGATTACTAATAAAAAACGAGTCCTATTTCATTTTCTTTTTCTTTTTTGGGGGGCATATTATGTTGCCTTTTTATGACCTTGCGAAATATCAGTGGCAAAGAAGATGCTCACTGTTTATCAAAGTTGGAAGAACACAGAGAGAAGCGTCCCAGCTCTTACTCACTGACCTGGATTCATTAGTTGAAGGAGTAAATGAAACCCTCAAAGGGGGGGACCACACATGAGGTGGTATTTCTTATGAAGCCACCCATGTTCTTAATGCAGATGAAGCCCTGCAGGAGAGATCCACTAAGGTGATATGACTCACTTCCTGGTTACTTTGTCAAGCTAGAAATGTGCCGGCTCACAAATGTAGGACACAAGTCCACACTACAGAAGTCCAGCGGCACTTAACTCACAGCTCAAAATCTTTTTTTTTGTTCCATCTTTTGTCATTATTGTTGTTATTCAATCAACACTGACAGCACACGTCTTTCCCCAGAAATACTTGTACTCTGGCAGTTTCTTGTTAAATCCCACTTGGTAAAAAGAAACACCATCAACACAGTCTAATGACTCCAGCTTTGACAATGGCTTTAGAAATACCTAAATAGCTTCTCCATTTTATAACAATACACACTGAGCAGACACCTTCAACAGAAAATGGGCCCGTATACAGTTCCACTTTTGTTCTCAGAGCTTTCAGTGCACTTCATGAAGGGTGCTTAACATTGCTTTTGTGGGTAGAGATGACTTATAATAATTGCAAATTCCTCTGCAATTTGAATAATTTTTCCAGACCTTTTCACTGTTTGTTATTCAGTGAGTGCAAAAAGTGGATTTGAGGTCCTGTGCTTCTCTTTGTTTTCGCTCATTCCTCTGTCATGAGGTTTCCACCAACTTTCCTGAATACAAATCTCCAGCTTTTCAACTCAAATGCCATCATTCTGGGTCAACACACAGCCATCAGCCTGTTTTTATGCTGGAAAATAACCTTTGCAAAAGTATAATGTGACTTATTGAGAAGACTCTACTCTATGTAGGAGAAATCTGTAGACAAAGATCAGCAGAGCTATTATCAGGGAATAGATTTAATAAAGGACCTAGACTTAATATGATTAGTGAGAGATTCAGTCTTAGGTTGGGTGTATTTTAGCTCAGATCCAGCCCTTGAAGCAGCTGGCTGAGGCATCACTCAGAAATCCTATATACTCATAGGTCAGTGTTTTGAGCAGCTGACATCTTTCCTCTGACAGCGAGACAGAGCTGAGAAACTGTCTTCTACCTCACCTCCCACTAAACACGGGTACTCATGCTCTCCCCACGCCTCCCCTCTGCCCTGCCTGGCCCCTCCGGTTTACCACCGAAGAGACCAAGAGAGTAAAATTGGAAGAGAAGAGAATCGGAATGGGTAATCTGCCTGTAATCCCACAAAGAGAGCAATCTGCCTCATTAACTCACTATTCTGCTGCTTGCCGCGTGGCTCTCATCCATCTTTCTGTCCATTTGTCCACCATCCGCCCCCAGTGCAGGACAAAAGAGATGCTATAGCTATAGAGGTGCACAGGGGAGCTAGAAACAAGGTAGAAACTTGCGCTTCTGTTAGAAAAGAAGGAGGAAATGCAACAGAAATATGAAAAGAAAGATTTCTCTCTCCCTCATGCCCTCCATTTTAGCTGTGGGGACGATGATAAGCATGGTTGCTATGTGTTCTGCCTATAATGTTAGCTCCTTTGATAAAGTGTGTAGAAGAAGAGCCTGTGAGGCAAAGACAGAGTGAAGCACCTTTCATTGTCTCACGGTGATTGCATGAATGGATCTGCAAGTGAAAGAGATGGAGCAGCACACAGACTGAAGAGAGAGGATACAGTATGGCCTATCGATCCTATCAGTTTACGCCCTTGCCTCCTGTGTGGCCTTGCCGGTAGGATATCCGTGCCTAGATTGAGACTAATCTTAGTCAGCCTGGCAGGACATTTATTATTGAGCATATCAAAGCTAATACATCTCTCAGAGCGCTGTCAGATGCAGAGGGGGGAAAAAATTGTCATGTGATGGAGCCGTTTGAGTTCAAAGCTCTGTGTGGTTTTTAACAAGTTGCCTTTGGTCTTTCTAAATGAGAAGGAGTTTTATGTTGAAAAAAGCTGGAACTGTGCCATATACCCTACTGTATTCCTCAAAGATTGGGTCATGAATTCATTCAGCAGAGCTTGCAAGTGCATTTGAATCTTGGATGATGGTTTTCTCTTCCCCCCCCTTCACGAATTGTTGAAAGTAATGTAATCCCAGACCTCTTTTTTCATATCTGAGTAACCCCCGAAAAGCAGGCTCTTCCAATGAATTAATGAAGATGTTCTTTGTAGCCTCCAGTGAGAGCTTGATGTGAAATATTTGCATTACCATATTGCTCGCCTTTTAGCAGCCTCAACCAAGATCCTTGGTGCTACAGTTTAGCTGGAATTCATTAAAGAGAATAGTGAAGTATCAGTAACACACAAATAAAACTTCTCTTCCCGTCTCTTCTTTGGGCTCGCCTCAAATGTCGTCTCCACCAGGTGCTGCCAAGTCTAGACCTAAAAGAACTCTTGGCCTGAGAATTTATGTTTCAGGTGTGGGACACATCTCTTTAGCACCTGCAGGCGAGCTAGTTAACCTAAATTACTCGAGCAGCACAAAGGTAGCTGCTGTTTCTCAGGTTTAAAAATATCATGGCTGCTTCCTTATTTGGAAAGGCATGTTGTGGGGGAAAACATGATGATCAACAACCTAAAGTTAGCCCTTCCTTTCAGAGTCAGCCAATGATTGGAGGTCTTTGGCACTGCAGAACCTGTAAGACCAATAGAACAGTTCTGAGCCTTAGATCTAAACAGCAAGGCTGCCTCCATCTTTCAGCTATACCCATCTATTCCAGGGTATGCTAACATGAAGCTAGCCGTGAAAGGATCCTATTTCGAAGTGGAGCAGGTTGCGTAACAGGGATATGGGACACAAAAAAACCCCACATAAGAGTTTTATGCTCATAATTGAGGAGTGGGTGTAAGTAACTAATCCTTATGCTGTGGGATATCAGTCATCCACACTATTGCTAGTTCTCTATAATCATGCAGTTTGTTTGCATAACACTTGCATATCGAAGCACACAATAGCATTTACTTCCAAAGATAAGTGCTGGACTTTAACATTAACCACTTACACACAATTTAGACATCAAAACACAGTATGAGGCTATTTTCTTTAACCATTTTTAAAGATGCAGGGAGTGTGGAGAGTTCAGTCATCACTTATCAATATGAATGCGTCTGCGCCGACCCAAACACAGATCTATATTTCCATTCATTCATGCGTTGGCCGCTGAGTTCCAGCGAGCCAGGTTTCCTCAGACCACATTTTTAACCGAGCTTGTCTCTGTGCATGTTTTTCTTTCTTTTCTGTACACCTCCTCCCACCTTCTTTCGTGAATCTCAACAGACCAACTTGAATAACTGTAAGTACTGCTCTCAGTCAAGTGCCCTTAAGAGAATTGTTGTTCTCCCCCACAGTTTATTCCTCTTCTAGAAATCCATAAAGCTTTTGT